CAACTTGAGCTTGTCGTTGGTTGCTTCGCGGATCTTGGCTCCGATGTTGGGCTCGTTGTAGTCGAAGACGTGGTCGGCGCCGAGTTTACGAAGAAGATCAAAGTTGCGGGGGGAAGATGTGGCTAGGACCTCGTAGCCTGAGAGCTTCGCGTACTGGACAGCAAGTGTGCCGGTTGCAGTAGAAGCACCGTAGATTAGGATAGGTGTAGGCTCTTCCACCTTGGCTGGGGGAAATGGTAGGCCGAGCTCCTGGTATAATCCTTGGCCCACGGTAGTGATACCGACGCCTAAGGTCGCAGCATCCTCAAAAGACATGTTGTCAGGGATCTTGAGATTGATACCCTCTTTGGCCTTGATGTGTTCGGCGAAAGCACCGTTGGAGTGATCCGCTGGGTCACCTGAAGTACTTCAGTGATACTTTTCTTTAGAGATCAAGATGTATGTTCTTTGTTTACCTCCACGAACAAATCCACAAATACGATCACCAACCTTGTAGTTGGTCACTGCCTTTCCAACCTCTTCAACAACTCCGGCATAGTCGCATCCCACAATGGCGCCCGGTGAAGGCGAACGGTTGATGCTTTTCCAATCAGTCGGGTTCAGCGCAACAGCCTTGGTCTTGACCAGAAGCCAATTGTCGGCTGGAATTTTAGGAAGAGGTACGTCGTTTCTCAACTCAGAAACGTCCTTTGAGACGTGGACTACTGCTTTTTGGGTAGACATGGTTAATTTATTAGGATGAGACTCGGTAGAAGGTGAAGATGCCCGGTGTCAGTTAGGGCTTGATGTGATTTTATAGAGGTGTCTACTAAGAGAGATATTCAATAGTGGGTTGGTAATGCCACTTATAGCGTCATCTTGAGTGCAAACTACAAATTGCCTCGGCGATAAGCGGGGAACTTTCAGCGAAGTTCGTCATTCCCTCACGATCACAGACAGAGTGAATTATTAATTGCGCCCGGTCGGCACTCTCCCATGCCGATGTCATTGCGGCTATTACCGGCGAGGCACGTGTGGTGAGGGAAAGTGGGCAATAGCAGGGGTCCGAGCTTGAGCTAGTACGTACCCAAGCTTGCATGCAAGGGTCCGGCAAGCACGCGTTGGTGATGGACTAGAAGTCCAACCCTCAATTCTAACCGTGTGGCACATATATTCTCCGCACTACTAGTAGCAGCGATCTCGTGCCCAGTTCTCTCGTGAACATGGCAGACCCTCAACAACCGGGCCAGGTCGAGGACGAAGACATTGTCCTCAGCTTCTTCCCCGATCCCCCACCCTTCTACAAGCACTTCACACCAGAAAACCTCGCCCGCCTCCAAGAAATCGAAAAAGACGCCGGGCTCCACGACAGTAATGGCAATGACCCCTTCTCCAGCACCGTACCAGGAACCAAGCTCTCCCCTGAGCAAATCCTCACGCTGCCCACCGAACTCCGCTACCTAATCCCGCCCGAGCCCCCCGCCGACGACGCCGAATTCCACGTCTTCGACACAGTCGCCAAAGCAAAAGGCACCGACGTCTTCATGAAGAACATGGAATACATAGCCGACCAGCTAAAAATGCAAGGCGTATTCCAAGACTGGCAGTACGAGCAACTCTACCCCAGCGACCCTTCCTCCACAGCCTCCTATCAGCAACCACCAACCTCGTCAACAATAACAACATCAAACTCGGTGTCGCTGGACAGACAAAACTATCTTTTCAGGTTTCTGCGCAGTATACTTTTGAGTTACATTTCGCTTCTAGGCATTGTGGCCTCAGACCCGGTGTCTGAGAAGAAAGATGAGAAGTTGAAGGATATCATGACCATGGTGGCGAATATGCACGCGCTGATTAATGAGTATCGGCCGCATCAGGCGCGGCAGACGCTGATTGAGCGGATGGAGGAGCAGGTGCGGCGCAAGAGGGCAGAGGTGGAAGGAGTACGTAAGATGGGGGAGAAGGTACGGCAGGTGCTCGCAGGGTTTGGGGCTGTGGATGGAGAGAATAAGGACGGGATGAGGGATACGGGGACAGAAGGGAGTGCTGGTGTGGGGAAGGAACAGGTGAGGAAGATTGAGGCGCAGAGAGGGGCGTGGGAGGCGCTTGAGGAGGTGCTTGGTTAACGGACAGATTTTTTGCACGCGTTACGCTAGGTTATGGAAATAATGATACCCTTTTTCATCTCTTCACAATTGTCATAGGTCAGAATTCGGCTGCGGTCACTAAATACGTCGATCGCGCAGTTGGCAGAATGGGCACGAGACTCCACCACCCGTCGACGGGGAAGTTCAGACTCGCTTACAACAAAACACAGTCCCAATGTCTCACAAGTCTGGCAAACACGAGAACAAAGCTACCACGCACATGATTGCATAGTGGAGTTAGTGCCGCCCATCCTAGTGCTTGCACCACAGCTGTCAGGTACCCGCTAGCCCTCTTTCTGACATGCAAGACATGACGTCAGCCAGTATACACGTATCTATTCCCCATCTGTGTCTGCACTATACGTGTCTATACTACCCGCAAAAAAGAGCAGGCCTGTCTTCATCTGTGAACGATAAGAAAATGAACCGATGATGCAAAAGTATTCGCGCGGACCGCAATGTGTCTCAGGACCACCGCCCACGTCCTCCGTTTCAGGCGACTATAAAAAATTCCCCAGCTCCTCTTTTTTTTACAAACACTTGCGATAACGCTCAGCTCCGAGTAAGCTTTCAGTATTACATACATGACAATAACTTTTCTTAGTATCTGAGCGAAGGGTGCGCATGTGGTGAGATTCGATAACCCACCTACCCCTGTTTGCCTAGCTCGTGAGCCGCGCCCCCCGTTTTAAGGGTATAACGGCAGGGCGAGGCTGAGACTTGCTGATATAGTTCAGCCCCCGTAGGGGTGTGTGTGTCTACCTGTCAGCTGAAAGAACGGGAAGGGGGGGATCGAGGGATCAAGGATACCAAGGCTGAAGGGAAGAGACAAAAAGGTTGACGTTGTGCTTATTTTCTTCCCTCCTTCATTTTTATCGTCGCCCGTCGAAGGAAAAGATATCTAGGAGGGCTATCGCACCGCCATCCAGGAAGAAAAAAAAAACCCTCAGATTTTACCAACGTAAAAGCTTCATATTATCAGCTTTCCCATAACTCGACAAAACCATGGACTCAGCAGGCTTCCGCCGGCCGCCCAAACGCCTCGCCGTCTTCTGCGACGGCACATGGGTTGGCCGCGAGACAGCCGTCGACGACGCACCACCCAGCAACATCCGGCAGCTCGCCAACATGGTCGGCACCGTCAAATACAAAACCGACGACAAAGGCGCCGCAACCGTGCATCCCATCCAGCCGCACAAAAACAAGAATCTCTCCGAAACCTCCCCTGCCCCGGCCCCAGATGCCATCGTCGCCGGCTACCAAGAAGGCGTAGGCCTGAACAAAAACTTCATGCAGTACATCTGGGACGGTGCGACCGCCTCGTCCATCAGCGAAGAATGCATCGCCGTGTACAAGTTCATCGTGGAAAACTACACGGACGAGCACGAAATCTGGTTGTTCGGCTTTAGTCGCGGCGCCTTCACTGTGCGCTGCGTCGCGGGTATGATTAACAACTGCGGCATCATCAAGCGGCGCGCCGACTACACCGAGCAAGAAGTGTCGCGCCTGTGCTACGAAATATTCCGCACGTATCGCTCCAGCTTACCCGTTGATGCGCCCAAGAGCGAGGAGTGTCAGCGCTGGAAGGGACTCGAGGATAGGGTGTGGCAGGTCAAACGCCCGATTCGCTTCATGGGCATTCTAGATACGGTGGGTGCGCTGGGGATTCCGCGGTTAAGTGCGGGCGTAGGGTTCGATTGGAGTCCGTTTGAGTTTTTCGACATGAGCATTTCGAGCGTGGTGCAGCATTGCTATCACGCGCCGTGCTTGCATGATCGGCTGTGGATCTTCCAGCCGTGTCTTGTGTCTGCGAGCGAGGCGACAGCCGAAGACGACGAGAAAGAGGCGAGGGCGAATATAACGCAGAAATGGTTTCCGGGCACCCATTACGATATCGGTCGCATGACGTTTCGTTTTGTGCGGCAGAGCCCGACCAACTGGATTGAGGAGGCGTTGGGCTGGCTTCCGAACTTGCTGTCGCGCACAATCTATCCGAATCAGGTGCTTAGCGATGCGGTACTAAGGTGGATGGTGGAAAGCGTGCATGCTGTGGATGAGCGCTCGGAAACACCCATTATGCCTGGTGCGCAGGAATGGATACAGCATCTTGGAGAGAGGCTGGGTGAAGCTGCACTATCAGCTTCATCGACCCAAGATCAACACCTGAGAACTGGCAGTGGAGACATCTACGGCGACGTGCTGGCCTACGCGCCCGGCGGCGTCGTGATTACCTCGGTGCAAAAGACTTCGCGCTCCATCACCTCCCTCCTCAATGGTGTCTTGCCGCGGCTTGGTGACAACATCCAAAGTGTGCTGGGTGTCAAGACACTCATCGGTATCCTGACAAACACGGCCGATCGCCGTATCCCAGGCACGCAGGCAGAAATATACCCGTACACAGAGCCAGAAAAGGTCATGGTCAAGGGAAACGAAGTTGTTTTCACGGTAGAAGAGCTGGCGCGGATGAAGGAAGTAAATGACGTGGGGCAAGTCAGATATCCCAGTCAGTGCTTCCAGTCGTTTTTGCTTTGGAAAGAGGTGTTTGGGAAAAAGGAAACTTGATGTGAACACTGAGTCTGGGTTTCTTTCACGCGAGCGAACAAATTGTCATCGAAACAGTTCAAATACCACACTGCTTCAGTTATTGGAGGTGGAATTCATCAGCCCTTCTTGTTCATTTCAAAGGCAGCTTCGTTGGCAAATGCCTTCTTATCGATGACTTGGTCCCTGAAGAAATGTGCATTAGATTCATTGTACTTGTAGTAGCATGTCCCATATCTAAACCCAGAATCTACTATATTAAAAACGACACAAAAAAATGATGTTCATGTCCTTCATGACGACCGTGAATGTTGTACATAAGTAGCAAGAAACTTACTTCTTGCCACGTCCGCCAAAGCCCCATCGAATCTGATTCGCCCAGCGCACCTCTACACCAAGGTCGTCTGCACACTGCCACACGAAGCCAGGGTTCTTTTGGAACATGCGGCCAATGAATGCAACGTCGAGGTTGTCGTTCTCAAGGTAGCCGTTTGCCTGCTTGCCGTCGGTGATGCTACCGACAGTTCCAACAGCCATCTTGTCGCCAACCTTGTCTTTGACAGCCTTGGCGAACGGCTCTTGGTATCCGGGTCCACCATGGATGTGCTGCTTCTCGTGGAGCCCACCAGATGAGACGTCGAGCAGGTCAACACCTCTTTCGGCGAGTATCTCGGCAAGGCGGACGGTCTGGTCAACAGTCCAGCCTTCGATACCGGCTTCGTCAAGCCAATCGGTCGCGCTGATGCGGAGTACAAGCGGCATGCTCTCCGGGATGGTCTTGCGAGTGAGGTCTACTAGCTCAAGGGTCAGGCGGGTGCGGTTCTCGAACGAGCCACCGTATTCGTCGGTACGCTGGTTGGATGCGGGAGAAAGGAAAGAGTGCAGCAGGTAGCCGTGCGCATTGTGAATCTCAATGGTATCGAAGCCGATCTTGACCGCGCGCTTGACAGCGTCAACGAAAGCCTGCTTGAATGTTTCGATATCCTGTTTGGTCATCTCCTTGGGAGTGCAGTGCTTGTCGTTGAACGCAATGGCTGATGGACCATAGACATTATCCGGCCAGCCGTTCATCTCCTTGGTAGCAATATCGCCCTTGCTCAGCCATGGCGCCACTGTGCTAGCCTTGCGTCCCGCATGACCGAGTTGGATACCGATTTTCTGACCTTGGGAGTGGGCAAACTCGACAATTTTGCGGAGAGGTTCCATTTGCGAGTCCTTCCATAGACCACTGTCCTCGGGCGTGATACGGCCCTCTGGAACGACAGCAGTTGCCTCTACAAAGCTCAGCCCGGGGCCACGCTGAATGATGCCACCCAAGTGTGTCAGATGCCAATTGGTGTGATGGCCATCTTCAGCAGAATACTGGCAGAGAGGAGAAAGGGCGATCCGGTTCTGGATCTCGAGACCGCGAAGCTTGAGGGGCTGGAAGAGCTTGGGGATCTTGGAGCTGCCATCGAGCATGCCCAATGCAGTTCCAGCAGGGGGGTCTTGCTCGGGTGTAAAGTAAGAGATCTAAATGGTTTAGTAAAACATAGAGACGTGAAGGAGAGCATCGCATACACCAGGGGCAGCCTTGTTCCTCAATTCATCTTGCTTGGCGACTTGATCGCTCTTCTTGTCCTCTGGTACGTCTTTGGCAATTGCGTGATGCGAATGTGGCTTCGCAGTGTCAGATTCGGCACCCATGGTTGCGATTGGGGAATGAGGTATTCGGGATGTGGGAGTATCAGGGGATTGCGACGACTTGTTCTTTTGCTCAGGCTTGAGCTGTGCCGAGACTGAAGTTGCGATCAATGCGGGTTTTATACTGCGCGATGTCTTTTCCAGTCTCTAGAAAATACTAGTATGACGTTTACTTTCACGCACGCGCGGGGCATGTGCAGGGCCCCGCTTTCCTTGTTGGGGTTGGCATGGTGTGATTAGGGCATGTGGTGATTTGTAAGAAAGATGCCACCACTGTGTTGGCCGGAATGCCGAAAACGTATGCAGTAATGATTACATGCTGCCGTATGTGGCAATGGAAGTATCAGAGCCAGAGCAAGCATTCGATGGCGACATGATTTGGTTGAGTGGACGGTTGGACAAATGCTGGCAGAGGGAGCAGGGAGCACGCCCGCAGTTGGCATGTTTGCACAGGGAGGGTTTGGCTTTCGCGTGCGGTGCAATTGTTGATCTCGGAAGCGTATTTAGGTCATCACGAAGTTTACCAAAGCATGCATGGGAAGGTTAGTCAGCGATACTGTGCCGGCGTTATACCAGACGTCATTCGGTGTCTGTGCGGGTGGGTGGGGTGGACCAGTTCAGTGATTTGCGCGACCCAAATTCCGGGGGCTTGAGTGCGGCGACGAGGCCGACGTTGTCCGCTCCAAGCCTCTAGTGCTGCGATCGATACTGGATGGCAGACTTCCATACTCAGCATACCAAGTCTTGCAGGACGCTGACTGCAGACTTGGCTGTCGCAGGTCACGAGCTCGCAATCCGGTTGGGTGGACGGAGAGTGTTTGAGCCTGAGGTTGAGCAAGGATAGGGATGGTTGGCAGAGGGCATTAATATAGCCACGGTCATGTTGTTGGCGTGCTTGACCGCAGCAGGTTAGCAGGACGGTTAACAGTCGGGAATAATGAGAATTATGCACTCGAAGTTGACACATAACAGCAGCATGACGAAGCGCAAGTATGTCTATCATAGCGCAGTCCAATGATGGGCATCATGCGCGTTTCGTTTTGCGCGTAACGGGAGCGTCAGGGCTGAAGCAGCCGACGTTGCCGATGGATCCAGAGCATCGGCCCTTTGTTGTGTGTGAGGCAGAGTGGGTAAGACTGGCAATGGGGTTTTCCGTTTTTGCACGCGGGTATGCAGGCCTCAGACAGGGACTGTGGCACGAGAATAGGTGGTGAGGAACGGCCAACGCCTGGAGCCGCCTGTGCCACGGCCACGCCGAAGGGAGGTGGAGATGTGCGGTTGTTGCATTGGGATTTGCGGGAAGCTTTGTCGACAGCGGGCGTGTATGGCCGAGCAAGAAACAATGGCGGCGCGAGGAGGACAGCGATAGGAGGGTGGGAGGGTAGGATAGATTGGCATTGGCACTCTACCCCACGCTGGGTGCGGCGCAGGAAATGAGGAACAGGCTAGCAACCTGCCTGATTGGGCCAAGTGCGGCACCCTCAAACACCAGCCCGTGTGGCGCCGCCAATGGGAGCCCGCCAGCCCGCCAGCCCAGCACAGGGCCCGGCAAAGGACCAGCCGCTCGCGCAGCGCAGTGGATCAAAGACGCCCCGACCACCCGCACGCGCTCTCTTACTGCCACTCGTGCCCATTACACACTACACCCTCGACGACGGCGGCGACGACAGCAACGACAACGGCCAGCCACACAACCGCTGCCGGGTCTGTCTACACACACTGGCACATAGACGCGGGCGCTTGACATTCACTCTCTTGCTACACCCACCCCCATCGCCACTGCCCTCTCGGTGCACAATCGCACCTGCCGTTCCTTTGCCGCCCGCAGTCAGCACCACCTCAGCAGCCCGCTTGTTCACTGCGCCCTCACCCGCCTTCACTGCGGCGCAAAAAAAACCCCCCCTTCAACCATTCACCCTCGCAGCGACCATAGCTCCGCTCTTTTCTCCCTTTTGCCTTTCCACGGCCAATCTCTCTCGGTCTCGGTTTCTCCGCCGTCACCGCTGTGCCCAAGCCTTGTGCCTCAAACGTGAGACGCTCCACCCAACACGCGTATTTTCTTATGCACACTACGCCCCCGTACCAACTGAACACCTACGCTTCTGGGAAACACCCCGTCCCCTGCAAATCCCCCAGCCTCAGTCCTTCCCTCGCCCTACAAAACTATTCTGTTTACTGTCGCTCCCTCCCTCTGCTCGATTCGTGGTGAGCAGCAGGCCTGTTACCACCTTCGCGACGACCCTTTCTTTGTCTCTGCCTCCCCAATCCATGTCCTAGCCACACCAGTCACTCCTTGGACAAAGCAGCTGGGCTGTAGGATACAATACCGTTGACCGGATTCGTACAGCCACTCCTTACACACATTCATACATTCATACAAACATACATATATACAACCCTCCTCGCCGCCTAATACTCAACACCACTACCGACCATGGGCTGCTGCGGAGATCGCGAAAAAGCCCTTACCGTGGCTGAAGAGCAAAAGTGGACGCACCTGGTAAGCACTCCAACTGACACCACCCGCTCTCATGCCATGTGCTAATCCACTCAGACTCTGTCCGACTTCAAGTCCACTTCATGTCTCGCTCCCTTCTCCTACGTCTGGCTCTGGATCCTTGTTCTCGTCTCTTGCGCCGTCTATGCTGCTGACGCCTTCACTGCCATCAATCTTCTCGCCTTTGACAAGTGGACCAGCACCATCAAGCCCGCCGTTCCTTTTGAAATCGCAAAATGGATCTTTGCCATTACCATTATCATTTCCTACGTCTTTCTCCTATACCGTTGGATCAGGACTATGCGCGTCATGCGCACCGGAAGCGTCACTGAGTGCTACCTCGAGCCTCTGGCCGCCATCTGGCAGAGTATGCGCATAACTTCCTCCGGCCAGGGTTGGCGCCGTTTCCTCGTCTTTGCGGAGTTGACCAAGAGTAAAAAAGGCGTCAACTACATTGCCCTCTTTGTTTACTTCCAGTTCAAGAGCGCCTTGCTCATCATTGTCGCCCAAGGTCCCCGTGTCGCCATCAATGCCATGACTCTGTACGCCGTTATGCAAGCCCAGATTATTCCCGGAGGCGACCATGCTGCAAAAGACAGATCCAACTTTGAGCAGTTCTTCGTCAACATCAAGACGATGATCGATACGGGCAATAGGCGAGAAACTGTCATCTATTTCGCCATGTTGTTCTCCTTGCTAATTTGGGTCATTGCTGCCCTGAGTTTGATCGTCGCCTGCCTTCTCTACATCTTCTTCCTGTGGCATTACATTCCCAAGGCCGACGGTAGTCTAACCAACTACTGTCGCCGCAAGGTTGAGACTCGTCTTGAGCGCATCGTCGGCAAGAAGATCAAGAAGGCAATCGAAAAGCAGAACCAGCAATTGAAGAAGCAAGAAGAAAGAGCCATCAAAAAGGGCCAGCTTGATGTGTCCAAGTCACGACCAACTCTGCCCAATATTGGCGATGACGATGATGACACATCTACCGTCTTCTCTCTGCAACGCTCCGACACGATGAGTACCAACACGACACTCCCACCGTATGCTCCATATCCTCAATCGCACACCAACAGCATGGTTTCAAACAACGGCCGAAACTTGATGATGAAGCCATCTCTGCCCACACTCGACGAGCGTCCCAGCACGCTCGCGCGATCTGAATCGCAATTTACTACTTTTTCTACTAACAGCTATGGCTCCAATGCACCCATGTTGCCCCAAGCCGGTAATATGGGTAGAGCATCGCCAGCCCCCGGAATGGCGCCCCTCGATCGCAACGGTAGTGACTACTCTGGTCAACAGCGCAACTTGCCCTATCCCTCCGACAGGCCTTTTACGCAAATGTCGCAGGGCAGAGCGTCTCCTATGCCTCAACGGGGACACTTACCGCCAGTGGATACAAGTTTCAACAATGCTCCATATGGTTCTGAGCCTCGACTGGTTTCCCCTCTCGCCAATGACGCACGAACATCGCAAGCTCAATCTAGCCGTCCATACCAGGGATTCAGTCCGTACAACAGCCGTGGTCCTGCCACAGGTCCCGAATACGAGCTATCGCCTGTTGAAAGCAACGCGACAGAGGAAATCTCCCGACATTACTACCCTAACCCGAATGATTACAATGACTACCAGCCACCACAAGTACCCAATGTTCTGAGGGCTGGCTCTCCTGCCCCATCGCAGTTTGACGGTCTGCCCAACCAACCACGATCAAACACAGCACCTCCACACCGGGACATACTGGACCGTACTATGAACGGCTCGGTGCCGCCACAGCGCAGTGCCACTGCTCCAATCCAGCAGCCAGGCTGGGCTCAAGGACCTCCTCCGCGCAGCTTCACTCCTTCAGGTCCTGGTCCTCAACTTCCATACACTCCTTCCGGTCCCGGCCCGCAACGTCCCTACACCCCGTCTGGGCCTGGCCCACAGCGTAGTTTCACTCCATCAGGACCTCGTCCTAACGGTCACAACAACTACTAAGCTATTGTCGGGTTGACATCTTGTTTATACGTAGCAAAGTCCGGCTTTCCCTACGGTTTATATCATTGATGCATTTTCATGGCGTTCACTTCTCTTTTCTGTTAGATACAGATCCTCCTCTTTTTTCCAGCCAACCTTTTTACATTCATACACACCTGCCCATAACCTTTTGGGATACGATTATGACATCTCTCTCACCTCGGTGAGAAGGTCGTTCGTGACCTTCGTTTTATACATGTATATATGCTTCGAGATACCCCACCCAACCTCCCGTATGGCTGGCCTCGGACGTCCATTCGCTCTTTTCTTGTATGAAGTTACCATTTTTGATGGCTTGGAGAGACGACGGATATGTTTTTTTGAAGACGCAAGCGCGCACTTGTTTAAGTAGATATGCAGGCATGTGTATCATAGCTATCTATCTTGATTTTCTCTCTTTGTGCGATTCAATCCAATTTCTACTCGTCTCCTCCAATTCCACATCTGCATAGATTTCAAAATCATCTTGTTGTATCAACCTTGTTATATCAGTGTTGTTTTGTGTTCAACTAGAGTTTGATTTCAAGTAGAGATAAGCTGCTTACTCCAAAGTCTTACGAACCGCATCAAAACTGGATAGTTGGCCCACATTAAACACCTTGTTACCATTACCTCTATTGAGAGTTATATATTACTGCTCAATACGGTGTAGACAGGCGATCGTCTTTTTGCACTTTAACAACCTCTACGTCCCCCAAAAAAGGTTTTAGTTCTCCACTTCTTCCTTATTACGTGAATGTTACTGTCCTGCATTCCCCTCCTTGACCCAATACACTTTGTCTATCTCGCACCCATCCCAGTCCTCTCACCCTCCATATTAGCAGTTTAAATTTCCTCCCTCTCCCAACATACTTTCGCATCGCTTTCCTCGCTCACTCACCCCAGCAAACCCCCAACCACACGCCAATCACATACATAATCACACGTTCTTATACTCACACCCCACAATCTCCTACCCACGAACCCCTCTGTTCCCTTGCCGCCCTACCCCATCTCCACAATCCCGGATCTACCGCACACTCATAAAAAGACCGATACATGGCCAATCCACCCCATTCTCATATACCTCCCCCCCCCCGCGTATTCATATTCCCCGGCTAAATTCCTCCCTCCTCCATATAGTAATTCCGATGGGAGAAAAGAAGAGAGACAAGGGAGAGAGAGTTTAGCCCTAGTCATCTTTTCTTTTATTTGCACACACCCATGCCCCCTGCGCTCCCTTGTAGAGTATTTGATTTCGCAGTGACGGTATAAGTAGGTTGATGGCTTGAGGTTAATACGTGTGTGGGGAGGGGGACGGGGACAAAGTAGTTATTTCTTGCCCTAGTATCGTCGGGGAAGAAAATCAAAAACGGAGGCAGTGGTCACTATCGTTGGCTTCGATATGAGCAACACTTTTGACGTTGGTATTCCCACGGGCAGGTTTTTTTAGGTTCTCTTCGTTATCTATGATTATTTCTACCATGTTGCTCTTGTTTGGCTTTCATGTCGCTTCGATTGCAAGTCGCGATATCCAAGTTGGAAGAGAGTGAAAGAAAAAAAAACGTTTTCGGCTGAAGAGGGATAATGTGGGAAGGTAGGGAGGAAGAAAGAAAAAAAAGAGAGGCTGAGAAAAAGATTCTAAGTTCCCGACGTGTTTTCGACACTCCATTGTCAGAAGCTTTGAAAAAAAAAATAATCCACAGTTGTAGTGTGATTGTGGATGCGGGGGGAGGTTCAAGAAGAGAGCTAGGCAAAAGAGTAGTAAAAGACAAAAAGTAATTTACCTAGCAAAATGGAAGAAACGAAAAAAAAAACCGAACATAAAGACCAGTGCTGTTTCTTGAATGCAAATGCGGTACCTCATGCGATTCGAATATTGATATCGATGACGTCTTGACATATCGAACCCGTCCACACTTTTCATATCTGGTTATCATGTATGGTACGCTTGCGCACCGCCGGGGAAACGTAGATTGCAGCTAAGCCTCGGTTTCCACGTGTCCGACTTGGTAAATGCTCCCTGACCCAGAGTCTTGCGCCGCGCGCGCAAGCATATCGGTAATGTACATGTATGGTTTCTTTGTTTTTAAAGAAAGGGGGAGAGGACCATGGGGCGGCACTTGAGAGAGCAATGCGCAGCGGGGCGGCTGACGGGGGAAAAAGGAATTTTGTTATAAAGTAAACTAAGTAACCTTGAGATGATTGTTGCGGAAAGTCTCCGTTGTATACTACATACTATATGTATTATGTAAAGTATGTATGTGCCCGCGAGACCGAAGTAAGTCCCCCCGGAGAATGTGAGCGCTCTCTCCTAAGCACCTGAGGAGTCAAGAAGCGCCTACATCCGCTTTAGTCCCGACACCCACCATCCCCAGTGAGCGAATCGTGGTAGTGCAGCGTCAAAAGTCGCAGTGTTGAACTATGTACACAACAGCTGTGCAAAAGTCATATGCCAGACGCCTTGTGTCATGAGCAAGAAAGATCGTCACCTACAAAGTCGTACGTTATCTGTGGCATCCGCAGCAACACATGCCAACGGACAACCCCACGAAACAAAACTACAGGCGTGTTTCATGCACTGTATCAGGCATCGATACCTCTTTTTTTTGGAGGGGGCGCGGTTGTTGAATGTGTCGCAATTCCCCCCACACCATTGTGATTGCACACTTTATGGGCGGATCGGCGAACCTGATCTTCAGGCTTTTCCCCTCCCTTCCTACTAATCACCCGAAACATGTTTGATCGCCAGGCACCACCCGCACCAGCGCGTCGGCTCTGACGATTAATAACCATCCAACCCGCACATGAATTTTTTCTTCACTTTGTTAAAATCATTCTTATTCAAGTCGGAATAAAGCAATCAAATGAGGCGTCGTGTCTCCTTTTGTCCTCGCCGTCTTGGTGACCGACGATCCAGTCTTGGTTGTTCTTGGGGGCAATTTTGATTTTTTTTGTACGGGAACGATTCTCGGGCTCGGCGTTGCTGAGTGCAAGAAGCGGTTTCACTAAGCCACGCCATTCTTTGTTATTTGGATGTAGCGTCGCGGAGCCCAGTGTTTCACGTGCTGTGGTTATCTTGATCTTTGTGTGAATTCGGCAGTAGTAGAATCTTCACAGTACGTAAGCTGAGGGGGGCAAATTCGCCCACACCCGAGTATATCACACGTCCTTTCCGCATGTGAGTGCCTGTGGCCGCTGTTCTTGCCTGACTTCACCGGTGGAGCCATTTGTAAACACGTTGACTTGCTCCGTCATCCTGCTTGTCTTTTCACATGTTGTGGTGGCGAAAGAACGAAACTTGCAGAAAGAATTCTCTCAGCGATCCCCAGTCAGCCAGCCAGTTGAGCATACGAACTTGACAAGAGTTGGCAGAGCGCTCCACCGGGACCATAAAATCCTGCACAAGCGAAATTACACACAATCGTCTAGAACACACTCGCTTGTCGGAAAGCGTATACCTGCTGACATCACACCGGTAAGGCTCCGAGTAGGTATCGATAAGATGATGAAGCTGCATGAAGCTTGTTGAGAGCATCCACAAGGCGTTCTGCCCACTGTGTGATTGGTGTACCTTGAAAATCCAGCACGGTAGTGTGCAGTTCGTATGCACGATGCGCCAATGAGAATCTGCTGCGAGAAAAATTATGTCCCGGTTCTATGGCAGATCTTGGACAACATGGTTCGGCTGAACAAAGTGTGGTAATACGTCGCGTCATGAACACGACCTGCTTGTCAGCAGTTGCGGGAAGGGCCGCATGCAATGGTTTTTCGCTATCCTCTTTGACCATATGCGGTCGGTCAACCGAGCACAAACAACCTTTGTGGTATACTCATAGCGCAGTGTGTCAATGCACGACCACTGCAGGTGATGAGTAGATGAAAACGAAACAAAGACGTCTCTCAATGCTGTCATCAAAGGCGGACAAGTTGGGCCATTCGGGGTATGAGACGCACTCGCACATGCTGTGGCTTCTAGTTCCGTCCGCGTTCGAGGCAAGGTCACGGCCGAGGACTAGCAAACAACGAACAGAAATCCACCACGTCGCATCCACTGCTGCGCTGTTACAATGGCGACCGGTGGACAGCAGCCTTTGAGTTTTTCATCGTGCATACACATGTTGGCTAGCCCCCACATTGCGATAAAGACTCTATCATTCCGCTGACCACACTGGGGCTCCACAAACGTTGCATCAGCCGCTTGCCTGTGAGTGGAGCAGCGGATGCGTAGGTACAGATGGGCTGAAGTGCAGCCGTGTAAAGGACGAATAGAAGCAGAGCGAGTGCAAACTGCTGCGTCACTATGCTGCACGACGATTACACAGGCTGACAGAGGCTTTTGTTACCCGGCCAAGGAATGGTCGGGGCAGTCGGACCATAGTGTGTTGCCGCGGTCGAGAGCGTACACCGAGAGGCATCTGGTCGACAGTAGTGAGCGTGATAAGAGACGATAGCAAGCAGGCAGTACATGACGACGCTGGTGAGGCTAGACTGGATGAGGCGAAAAATACACGGCGTTAGTGCGATGGCAACGCGGCCGGCGGAAGAGGTTCTGGAATCCGCAAGGTCGTCTTGTCCACTTTGGTTCGCGGCGACAAGACAACACGCACATGCCTTTTCCAATCACAGCATGCCGGTCCCACCCTGCGATGATCGTAATTGCGCGGCCTTGCGTGGTCGGAGAGCCGACAGAGTGGCGGCTGTGGCAGTGCGGCTTGTTGTCGCAGTTGTCGATGCCATGGCCGAGATGGCGAGGCCTGTTGTCGGCGGCGACACGACCAGCTCGGCGGGTATAGCAGGCGGCTGCTTGGGTGCGGCCAAGGGCATGATGAATGGGGGGCGGAAGGGGATGCTTCAAGTCGTGATTCAGCAGTAGGCGGCCAAGGTGTCGGGCCAGGGCGGGCCAACTGTGCCTGAGCCAGGCACACCAATCACAGGCGGGGGCTCGGCGACGGGGCCGCACTGTCAGGGGTTGCATGTCCGGTGCAATTGGCCCCATGCAAATTAGCAACGGGGATGGTTGGCGGCACGCTAGCCTGTCAAGGTCAGCCAGGAGATGAGATGGAGCAGTCCGGATGGCGCTGCGTCTGGCCGCTTGCGTCCCTTTTCCTCCTCCTCTTCACCGCAACATATAACATACCCACGGTCCCTCTTTTCCCATTAGCCACATTCGCGCGTTCACTCATTCACGCCCGTCTTGGTCTTGCCTGCTTGCTCCCTTGCTTGCACGCTCAGTCATTCCTTTGCTAATCTTACCCACAATCCTTTATCGCTCCATCAGCACGCTCTGACACGCCGTTGAACGCCGTTACGACCTGTCTGCTCCATCAACACTCGCCTGCCGCATCATTACTCACAAACCCGTTGCAAAATGCGTTACTCTTCCGCCCTGGTGTTGAGCACCATTGTTGTTGGCCAAGCTGCCGCCGCCAACCTCCACAACCGTCACGCCAGCTTCCATGCTCGCCGTCAAGCGTGAGTAATCCCGCCAGCGCTCGCACATGGCCATTTCTAACTGTGCATAGTGAGGCCAAGCGCTCCGTTGATACCAGCAATGTCGACTGGAGCAAGGTCGCCTACGACCTGAGCGATGTCGACTGGAACAAGGTCTTCGCAACTCCTTCCCCAGCTCCCCAGCCATCAGCTGCGCCATCAGCTGAGCCTGTTGCCGAGGCCAAGCAAGTCGAGGCTGCCGTGGCTCCTACATACCCCTCGTCCTCCGCTCCCGCTGAGGAGACGAAGCCCACTCCCACCCCCACTTCTACTCCTACTCCTACTCCCAGCGCGGCTCCCGCCGACGACAAGAAGGACCCAATTGGCGATCTCCTCGACAATGTAGGCGACACCATCAATGACATTGTTGGAGACGCCTTGAACGGACTCCAGTCTATGATCACCAGCATCGGCGCAAAGACCGGAAAGAACCCCACGAGCAACCAGAACGGTATCTGGCTCGGCAACGACAGCAGCTGGATGGCCCAGTTCACCAACGACAACAACCAGGATGCCGTCCTCTTCTGCTGGAGGTCCAACGACTTCAAGAACATGTGCATCAACGAGATGCAGCCCGAGATCTCCGTTGGCCTCAAGTCTGGCGAGTCCGTCGACATTTCCTTCGAGGAGAACGCTTCTGCTGCTTGCGCACCCGTCTTCCCTGACACCAAGCTGGCCATGTTCGGTGGTGTTGACAACACATGGTTCGAGGTCACTTTCGGCTCAACTGGTGCTTTCGATATTTCTCGCAACGTCAACATGAACGGCAACAGCATCTCGGCCAAGGGCTCCAAGTGCACATCAGACATGAACACTTGCGTCTTCAAGTGCAAGAACGGCATGTCCACCTGCGAGAAGGGTACTGACTACGATCTCTTCAACTGCGACTCTGGCAACGGTGGTGGCGGCGGCTACGACCCAATCATGGCCGGTACCGGCGGTGGTTGCTCCATGGGCCAGAGCAGCGAAGTCATCAGGGTTGTCCTTTCATAAGCGGTGTCAACCCGATCTTTTTCGGCGTTGGTCATCTCTTCATGTTGGTTTGCATATTCCTCTTCGCCATATTCCCCCTTATTCCTTGCTACTTGGACACGACTCGTCACACAAGCAATCTTTTAGACACGGTTGTTTGGCGAGATACCCCATTCGCACTTTTGGGGGTACTGATAGCCTATCCATTAACGCTTCCCGTTCAGGCTCTCAGTGGTCCATGTCTATTTAGTAAATGTTTATTGTTAGTCTTACAATCCTATAAAAGTTCCAAAAAAAGAATCAACTTGCCTATCTTCTCATGTGTGATGCACTTCACAATCAGGACCGCCATTTTGTTTCGGCTAAGCGCCTGAGGCATGCACTTGCACTGCCTGCCGCCCGCCAATCCAACTGGCGACGCGAATCCCCTTGTCGATAGCCGCCTCGTCCTAATTTACCCACGGAGCAGGCAATTGTCCCGATGGAGGACTCGTTGCGATCCCAACAAGTCAACTCTCCCCATCTCGACCCACAGACCATAGCGAACAAAAGATAAAGGTAGGGGTACCCCGTAATAAGTCGTTCGCTCAGCTAAGCGATTGCGTTATCCTTCGTACCGTTGTTTCATCGCAACGTATACGATGACCGACCGACCAGGGGAGGTGGCCTATAGCGTTGAACAAAAAAATCATAAAACGGTGCAGAAAAAAACAGGCTGACGAACGCGCAACGCAACCAAAGTAACCAGCGAGCGAGCGAAACAAAGAAGAAGGAAGCGTTATGCGTAACCATAGCTATGCACCCCCCCTTGCGGCAGGTACACCAGCATAGCCATGCCTAGCCAATAAACTAGAAATTTGTGGGGTCACGTTCGGACATTGGAGCGAAAGCAGCGGCAGTGTGGGTTCCAGTCAATAAATAACAAAATAGGTGATGACGACGATAGGAGCTGGGGAAGAAGAAGGGGGGGCGGGAAGGTAACTACTTAGCACGGAGAGAACCAGGGGAAAGAGGGGTGGAAAGGCTCGCAACGTGGCTACTACTACTACTACCACTACTGCTAGTTACTTACTGAGTACGTATTTGTGCACAGACAAGAAACACATTTGAGCACAAGTAGGAAATGACGAGAGGCGCAGTTTCGGCCGCGCAATCTGACTGGATGGCGCCGAGCCCCGATGCTGCGAGTGGAAGATGTACTAGTAAGCTGCATCTGTGTGTACTTAATGTACACAATTGGTTGAATAAACAACAACAACAACAATAATACTAGCCCTGCTAAGTAGGCACGTGATAAAGGGTGAGGCGAACATCACTATATATCGTCAATGCCATCCTCCTATAGTAGCTCTAGTGGAAACCGGGGCAGAGAGCATTGCATCGTGTGACATTGTAGCACACAGGCAAGGCCATTCGTTTTTTTTGTTTTGTAATCCTGCATTGCTCAACGTGCGTACCGATGGATGGTTTCAATCTGGCGGCGGACAACCCCACACAAGACCACACCTTGGGTGACGATTATAGTATACCCCGAATGTCCGGATTTCAAGCCACTAGAACTGGATCAGAATATCATAAATCTACGAAAAAAATCAATACTCTTTGCTAGTATAAAAGGTAGTAGAAGGATTCTAGTTACTGTAGCCACACTAAGTAGATACCCATTGATCCGGCCGGTCTGGCTGCACCATATGGTGCAGCTAGCTCAGCCAAATCGCTAGGTTCCTAGAGTAGCTGGAGTTGCTAGAATTACTCTCCTACCTTCTATAGAAACAACAATATGAGGTTTCGTAGTTTTAGACTCGAACTTTCAACATTTCAGTCTTGATTTTAGTGGTGTTGAGTTCTAACCTTGAGGGTGTAATCATCGCCTGTGTGATACCCTTGGCAAGGAGAAACGACATCACGATAAAAGACAGGCTCCAATATGCGTCATCAAAACAAATCAACTCAGTTAGTGGCCACACTGTGCTCATAAATGCTTCATTCCAGAAAACACTACTATAGTTCAAGCAATATTCCACATGTACCATGAGCTGTGTCTAAACAATCTCTGATGCGAAATGCCCTTTCTGTACTCATACATTTGCTCACGAACTACATTTGTCTAGTTCGCATATGTGACTAAAATCGGGATATAACATGCAACTTTCATCGACGCCAGATTTGACCCTCTACAACTCATCGTGGTCCTTGGGGACATCGTCATCACCAGCGCTACCTGAAGAACCGTAGAGCTTGGAGGTGATGGGGTAGGCGACGTCGGAAAGCTTCTGGAACTGCTCGTCGAAGTCCTCAGCGGCAGCCTCACCAGCGTTGCTCTCGAGCCAGTCCTGGGTCTCCTTGACGGCTTCAAGGAGAGACTCCTTGTCGTCGTCCTCGATCTTGCCACCAAGACCCTCCTCGTCGTTGACCTGGTTCTTGAGGCTGTAGGCGTAGTTCTCGAGCTTGTTGCGGGCCTCGATGCGTTCGCGGGTAGCCTTGTCCTCCTCGGCGTACTTCTCGGCCTCCTCAACCATGCGGTCAATCTCCTCCTTGCTGAGACGGCCCTTGTCGTTGGTGATGGTGATGCTCTCACCCTTGCCAGTGCCCTTGTCAACAGCGCCGACCTTGAGGATACCGTTGGAGTCGAGCTCGAAAGTGACCTCAATCTGGGGAACACCACGGGGCGCGGGACTATGAAATGTTAGTTGCCACTTCCTTACGCTGAATCAGGATTGAAAACTTACGGAATGTTGGTGAGCTCGAACTTTCCGAGCTGGTTGTTGTCCTTCGTCATACTGCGCTCGCCTTCGAATACCTGGATCAAGACGACGGGCTGGTTGTCCGCAGCCGTGGAGAAGATCTGGCTCTTCTTGGTGGGGATGGTGGTACCACGCTTGATCAAGGTGGTCATGACACCGCCAGTGGTCTCGATACCGAGGGTAAGAGGGTTGACATCCATGAGAATGACACCGCTGGCGCGGTCCTCGCCGGAGAGAACACCACCCTGAACGGCGGCACCGTAAGCGACAGCCTCATCGGGGTTGACGTCCTTGCGAGCCTTCTTTCCGAAGAACTCCTCAAGCATGGACTGAACCTTGGGGATACGGGTAGAACCACCAACAAGGACAATGTCGTCAATGTCGCTCTTCTTCATCTTGGCGTCCTTGAGAACCTGCTCAACAGGCTTCAGGGTCTTCTTGAAAAGATCGTTGTTAAGCTCCTCGAACTTGGCGCGGGTAAGAGTCTCAGAGAAGTCCTTGCCCTTGAAGAAGGACTCGATTTCGATCTTGGTGGACTTTTGGGAAGAGAGAGTGCGCTTGGCCTTCTCAACCTCACGCTTGAGCTTACCCATGGTCTTAGCGTCCTTGGTGATGTCGACGTTGTTCTCCTTGTTGTACGTCTTGGCGAAGTAGTTAATAACACGGTTATCGAAGTCCTCACCACCGAGATGAGTATCACCGGCAGTAGCCTGGACCTCGAAAACGCCCTCCTCGATAGTGAGGATGGAGACATCGAAAGTACCACCACCAAGATCGTAGACGAGAACCTGGCGTTCACCTTGGTCGGTCTGCGAAAGTACGTTAGTCAATTGTTTGAAGTAGCAGATTGTGGTAGGATCTTACCTTGTCAAGACCGTAGGCGAGAGCGGCGGCGGTGGGCTCGTTGACCACACGGAGAACGTTGAGACCGGCGATAGTACCAGCGTCCTTGGTGGCGGCACGCTGAGCGTCGTTGAAGTATGCGGGGACAGTGACAACGGCGTTCTTGACAGGCTCACCGAGGTAGCTCTCAGCAACCTCCTTCATCTTACCGAGAACCATGGCGGAGACCTCCTCGGGGGTGAAGGTCTTCTCCTCGCCGTGAACCTCGACAGCGACATGGGGCTGGCTCTTCTTGTTGACAACCTTGAAGGGGAAGTGCTTGATGTCGTTCTGGACAGACTTGTCATTGTACTTTTGACCAATGAGACGTTTCTACTCTCTAATTAGTATAATGTGTTTCGGATGGCGGGGTATGGGGAATGCGTACGATATCAAAGATGGTTCGGTGGGGGTTGGAGGCGAACTGGTTCTTGGCGGCGTCTCCGACAAGGCGCTCCTCATCTGTGAAGGCGACCCAAGAAGGAGTGATACGGTTACCTGTAGAGGGAATTGGTTAGTTGGGAGCGTCTACGAGCAATTGGTAGTGGTGGGGCTTACCCTGGTCGTTGGCGATGATTTCAACTTGGCCGTTCTTCATGACACCAACGCAAGAGTACGTGGTTCCCAGATCGATACCAATAACGGGACCGGAGACGGCATTGCCGTCATCCTTTGCGGATTCATTGTCCTTGGCATGTGCTGTCTTAGCCAGCATCAGACCGCCGACAAGGACGAGGAGAAGGTAGAAGGCAATGGACCATGTCGAGCGCCTGCTCGCATTCCGTGAGCTGCGCGCCATTGTGGATGTGTATGGAGTAAGGTCTCTCGGAGACTATATGTGGCCTGGAGTGCCAGAAGCAAGTGCGGGCGTAACTCTCTGCGAGTTCGCAATGTGGTGGAGTAGACAAAGCTCTCCGGGTATCGTAAAGAAAGGAAACCAAAGGCAAGTTGGAATTGATCCTAAGGTGAGTGAAGAGAGAAGGAGAAGAGCGGTGGAGGGCTGCTGTTATATGCACGCCCAGTCGTGGAAGTATTTAGAAAGAACACCTTGCGATCTCGAAATACTAGCTCCGAAAGCGGACTAGCGCGTACACTGGACCATGGCGCTTTTGCCCCAGGCGCCCGCTACAGCCTCAATTTCATCCGTGTTTAATGCAACCTGTTACATGACACGTGTAATTTAGCGACAACGGCTTTCTGTGTAGCCTTGTCGACATTGTGGTATTGCAGTCTATGTGTGGTTGTGCGCCCACGAGCAACTTGAAGCGCATTGGAATGGGCAAGTAGCAGCTGCAGTGGCCCTACCGCCGGTCGTTATCTAGTCGCCGATACCCCTCCATCTAAGCGAATGCACTCCAGTCCTTTGGCCATTCTCGATATGCTTTTTTTTCTTTGGTGAAGCGGTGGACCAGATCGCGGGTGGCTAATATCGACTCATACATTACAAACACGTCGAAATTTCCGGCTTGTTCATCGGTGATTACCCAGGCTTTCTGTGGCGGCCAGCTCCAGGTGTCCTTTTACTCTAAATGTGGGGGTGCTTCCAAAACAGCCAAGCCGAAATTGACACTCGACCATCTACCAATTAACAGTCACCACATTGAAGGCTCCATACTCTTCTCTACCCAAATGCAACGTTTCCCTAATGCTAACGCCTAGTTGCCACCCATGCGCGTTGTTTAATCAGTTCGTGCTGCTGCCTATAGAGAGGCGCACGGCATTCCTGATATCGTACCATTGATAAATTCCTGTTTTGATTGCTTCAACGTGTTAATATACACCACGCAATTCAAGTTGTCGCGCGCCACTGCTGTACCCAAGATTCTAGAGTACACCAACGCAGTTTATGAATATGGTATACTTGTCAACTACTACGGCTTGGCCACCCCCAAATGGAGACCAACATTCTGGGAGTATCTCGACTAGTCCACACACTTCACAGCCTCGAGTTCACGGTACAATAGCATCTTTCGTGCTACACTACATGTCCACGTGACGCTGGCGGAGAATAGCAACCTTATCTCGCTGCACGGCGCAATCCCGTCACGCTGACGCGCCGAATCCGGCACTTTCCCTGCTAGGGTCGTCAGCTCTATTTCAATTACAATGTATCACTGCTGTCACAGTATGCTGTTTGTTTACCGTCACATGCTGAATCTACGCTTTTACAGTACGTATTCCCCACGAGCGACGACCAGTAGCACAGTAAGCGGTCGAATCCTACGTTTTGATTGGCCGATGACCTGTCACTGCGTCATAGACTCGCGTCGTTGCCAAACCCGGCTCTGACACTTCTGACACTGAACTTACTTGGAATCAAGTGCGACAGCACTCATTTCTGTATATAGCACAACTCAAAAGATGTATTCCGTTTTCTGTCTTGGAATACATAAACACTGTCTTGGCTCGCCTCCGCAGCAGTCCCCTTTAAGCATTCTGCTAACGTGTCATTGGATACATAGACTAAAAGCACCTTGGCAACATGTCTGACAAAGTCGTGGACCCTGCAGCAAGGGACAAATATCTCCTTCAAGGTACTCACACACAAAAAACCCTTTCATCGCCTCAAGGTGCCTAACAGTACTCAGTAACTGCGGGCCCATCTTACAACCCTTCGGAGCATGAACAAGTAGCAGTAAACAGTGCAGACCCAACCTATGTCGAAAGCGATCTCTTATCCGCTTGGATACGCGTTCGTATAAAGGACTACCATGGCTTACCTCGTGGTTCGCCAGCTTCACCGTCGTACTTCGACCACCCGCAACACACCTCGGATCGCTATTCCATCGCCTACTCTTTCATTCCCAAACAAGATATGCCTGGCTCTGACTTGGTCATGGGTTTTGACTACGGCCACTCAATCAGACATCAATTGCCCCCGGGTTTCCGGTACGCGATGAAAATTGCAACCAGCTTGCTTGACCCGGGCCTGTATTCTGACCCCTACTCCGACCAACCGTACCTGTACGGTCCAGCGCTATCAAGTTTCTTCGCTTTCCAAATTGGCGAAAATACAAGCGTTATGTCTCCGTCTGACCAACTCTCCCGACTCGAGCAAAACTCGGACAATGTCATTGAAGAAGGCGCGTATGGAAGTGGTGCTGAGATACGCAAGACACTAAACATGCCTTCTAAATGGAAGAAGAGGCGAAAATTC